TTGGCACCAAAAGTGACCATTTACATCCACGAAAGAGATCTAAGCAACTAAAGGTCAAGATAGTAACTTTATACCTCAATATAGTCACCAATGCAAGGTGGATGTCGGATCTACTGCCTCTCTCTTTGCTCCTTCTTCTTCAAACTCCAAAATCTTCACAAACACACCGAAACTCAGTCTCAAAATCTCTCTCTCTCTCTCTCTCTCTGTATCTCTCCTCTCTCTCAAGAAGGTTCAAGGCTCAAACTAGGGTTTCTCTAGCTGTAGGAATGATGGAAAGGGATGCAGATGAGCCAAAAGTTCTTTAAATTGGGTACAAACCCTTGAAAATTATGGTTTCTCGTTACAGTTCCTACTCGTTGAGTCGGGGCCTTCCGACTCGTCGAGTAGGATCTAAATCCCACGTTCTCATAAATGACTCTACTTGACGAGTTGGAGCTTCCCAACTCATCGAGTCCAAGCCTAAAACCCCAAAACTTGAAATTTTAAACAATACTATTTGTTAAAATTCTCCCTACTTGAACTAGAGTTCATACTCGATGTCTGTTAACGCGAACAAGTCCGGGTATTGTTCTCGCATCTCTTCTTCCAGCTCCAATGTCCATTCGGACCCCCTTCGGTGCTACCATTGCACCTTTACTAGCTTTACCTCCTTGTTCTGAAGAAACTTGGTCTTTCTATCTAGAATCGCAACAGGCCTCTGAATGTAGTTCAAGATCTCGTCCACCTGAATGTCGTCCAATGAAACGACCGTGGCCTCGTCAGTGACATACTTTTGAAGTTATGACACATGGAATGTGTTGTGAATCTGGCTAAGCTCCTCTGGCAGTTCCAGGCGATAGGCCACCTTGCCCACCTGGGTCGTAATTCTGAAAGGACCAATATATCAGGGCCCTAACTCGCCTCTCTTCTGAAACCTGATGACTCCCTTCCATGGCGACACTTTTAGTAATACCAAGTCCCCTACCTGGAACTCTAGGCCCGATAGATGTCAGTTAGCATAACTTTTTCTGACGACTCTGTGTGACTCGCAACCGGTCGCGCACCTGCTGAATCAACATGGTAGCCTTGAGCTCTACCTCAGTGCTCCCTATGACTAGGTGTCCCATCTCACCCCAGTAAATCGGGGTCCTACATCTCCGACCATACAACATCTCAAATGGAGGTCGGTCGATACTGGCATGGTAACTATTGTTGTATCAAAACTCTGCTAATGGGAGGTATTTATCCCAACTACCTCCAAAATCCAACACGCATGCCTGAAGCATATCCCCGAGCGTCTGGATCATCCTCTTGCCTAGCAATTTGTCTGGAAGTGGTACGTCGTGCTAAAATGCAACTGAGTGCCCAGTTCCTCGTGGTTCTACCCTAAGAATCATCTATTCATCAAACATTTAACCCAACTTCACATCCCCATTATCTTCTTTATTCTTAAGGATCTACCCTAAGAATCATTTATTCTTCATTCATTCATTCCTAAGGATTATCCTAACGAATAGGCATGAAGTCTATCGCTTCCAGGGTTTATCCAACATGCATTAAGTCCATAGTTGCCGATGTTATCTATTATGCACTATGTCAATAGTAGGCAATGTTATCTATTAGGCACTAAGTCCATAGCTGCCAATGATTCATCTATATGACACTAAATCCATAGATGCCAATGTTCACTTATAAGGCACTAAGTCTATAGTTGCCAAGGTTTTTTAGAGTTCATCTGGTGAACACGTTGTTTAGAAACACCTACAGGTTGTAAGCCCACTAGTGTTCCACTAGACTGTCTAGAATAGTCTGTGGTCGTCATCTATACTCTGCTAGATGACTGGATCATCGTTAAAGTCAAGGCTTCTCATCATCTTTCACCTCTCATCATCTGTATCATTTTTCATCTCTCATCATTCATCTACCCATCTTTACCCAATATATTTATAGGTATAAAAATACATATAAACTATAAATCATGTAAAACATGTATAAATTGTTCATCCAACATAGATATCAAGAACACAGATAATAGGCACATATAACATGTAATTTATATTAAATAATTCTATCAATGCGCAAGATGAAAGTAACTATGCACTCACTTGTTAAAGCGGCGACTCAATATTCTGGCAGCGCTTTGCTTCTAACAATCGTCTTTTCCTTCGACGAAACCTAGTATTATTATCGCTAAGTTTTTAGTGTAATATTTATTGCGACTAATTATTAGTCTAGATTTATCATTAACTCCAATTCTACTTCACTATCTATCAGGTAAGGAACAACCAGGTAGGATCATATCGGGGATAATGTCTGTTTGGTATACGAAGTATACTGTTTGGAAATCCCACTTTAACACCTCACTAAATCACAGCCTAGATATCATCCCCGTAAGTAGATCAATCAGTATAACGATTTGGAATCACTGATAAATCATGTTTATAGGTTCATAATAATGATAATGAACTTAAACATAAGTTAAACTTAAACATAAGTTATACTTAAAGTAGGGTAAGCATAACTCACTCATAAGGGGGTTTAGCGAAGAACCGAGCTCTGCGCGGGAAAAACTTATGAGCTGAAAGCTCTTCTTCTCGGGGTCTTCTGGCACTCCGAGACTCACTTCTAACACCCAGGAGGTGGAGGTGTTATGGAAAAACTTAGAGGGGTTGGGGGAGAAGTTGAGTAAAGGTGTGAAGAAAAATGAGGAAAACGACTCTATTTATAGGTTGGCAGATCGAGTTACGCGGGGGGTAATGTTGATGTACGCAGGGCATGCTCGGTACACGAGGTGTACCAGGCCTTACATTGGGCGTACAGGTGACACTATCAAGATCGCATGCAAAGCTGTGTGAAAGAAGGTGGGTTGAGATTGTGCCACGTGTGAGCCTCGCATCTTAACCCATAATTTAATTATCTTCTAAATTCCATAACTTTCGTATACGAGCTCCGTTTTCTTGATGTTTTTTATATCCACACATAGGTATTGACGTGATCTACAACTTTTGTGTAGACTTCGTCGGCCAAATTTGACTTTATTTTTAAAGTTATATTTTATCAGGCTTAGATAGTTCAAGTCCGTTAAAAATTCATAGTTGTGTCATCCGATGTCCGTTTCGTCTGTCTTTATATCGTTGAGCTTCTATTAACAAGATCTTCAATTCTTGTTTAGATGATGTCGGCTAAAATTCGATTGATCTAGAATTCGATTTTCGGGTTGTATACTGCTATGCTAAATCTTAGAAAAATCACAACTTCCTTTAACGAAGTCAGATTTGGACGTTCTCTATATGCACGCTCTCGGTTTAATGTATAATACGACTTTCGTTTAGATTTCTAAGGCTAAAAAGTATTTTATCAAAAATTCACTTTTTATGATATGCGACGTTGTGCCGGTTTAGTCGCAAAACTTCGATGTGTCATAACTTTTTCGTTATAAATCCGATTTCAGTGTTCTTTATATGTACGAAATTCTATGACATATACTATACTTTAGTTAATCCTATTTATTGTAAATAATATTCTATAAAAGGCGTCTTGGCCCAGGCCTTATCCTATTTATTTGGCATTCAACTTGTCATTTTTAACGCTTATTATCTCTAAATTGACTAGTCCAATTCTGCGGGCGTTACATGACTGGTCCTTACTCGCGATGCTATGGCGGTCTAGTTCCACCCCATGAGGAACAATCTGATTAGCTTAATTGAGTTAAACTGCTTTTAACTCAAATTCAAAGGCTCAAAAACCCAGATCTACTCCTTCTCAATGCCTTAATGGATAAAGTTTCCAACTTTATCCATTAAGACACTTCAAATAAGACAAGATCTCTAATCAAATAATAAAGGCAAAATTATGACATTGGCTTAACTATTAAGCACTTTTCCTCAAATCCTTTAGTCCAACCAACTCCAGAGGAGTTTCTAATACCAGATCTAACATAAATTTAGGTGATTTATAGACATGCATGACCATTGTATGTCTAAATTCCATTTTAGGTCGAAATGAGAAAAAAGGTGACCACAACTCATGCAAGACTAAGAATCCCAACCAAAGTCTAGATCTACAAGATATATTGCTCATGGGACTCAAGATAGTCATAAAGTTGCAATCTTTATCACATTAAATCAACCAAACATCACTTATGGACCAAAATAAGCTAAATATGCTAGCTCTACAACCAAAGAATCATCAACATGGAAACTTGAGGACTTACCAATGGTTTAGAGAGTGATTCCAAGGATGGGGAGGAGTTTTTGCTTGATCTTTGGGCTAGCACCTTCTTCTTCTTCCTTCAAAATGCAACCAAACACCAGAAAAAAAACTCAATGTCATACAAGGGAGGCTAGGGTTAGGGTTTCTAGTCTTGAGAGCATGATGGAGGATAAAAGGTCACAAAACCCTAACTATAATGTCCTTTATATAGGGTCCAAAGCCTAGGGATTAGGGTTTCTCCAAAATCTCACTACTAGAAAAACAGCCTTTTACGACGCTCATTGCGCGTCGTAAAAGGCTCAGACGACGCGCAAATGCGCGTCAAGGAAGGCCCCGTCATAATGAGAGACGACGTGCATTTACGACGCTCATTTACGACGCGCATTTACGACGCGCGTATACGACACGCAATGCGTATCAAGGAAGGCCCTGTCATAAAGGAAGACGACACGCATTCGCGTGTCGTAACCTTACGACGTGCGTGTTAATGACACGCAATGCGTATCAAGAAAGCCCCTGTCAAGAAAGGCCATGTCATAAATGAAGATGACACACATTTTTGCGTATCATAATTTTAAATGTTTTAAAAAAATATTTTTTATAGATTTACTAATTTTCAAATTAAATAATACATTAAAAATCTCATAATACAAAATAAAATACCATAAATAACAAAGATAATTCATTTCACTAATATGTCAAATACAAATAATTATTCCAAAGGTGAGTAAATGTTATAAAAAATGAACTCATTTATATACAATTGCATCATCTAGCTTACTATGTGCCAACAACTCTCTGTGCGTTTACTTTTTCTTGAGTCGCGTTTCCTCCAAAGATTTTAGCCATGCCAAAATATGATATCTTGAGTCTCGTGTGAATAGATCGTGCGCAATAGGTCTAGCTTGTATCGTTCCAAATAATTCCAATGCTAGTCTCTATACAAGCCAATAATTTGAGAACTTAATTTTACCATTATTATATAATTAATCAAATAAGAAAACAATAAATACCTTCTGCCATATATGAAAGAGAACAATATAAACAAGATCAGTATCGCCACTTTCAGTTGCCTTAGTCGGGGCTGTATCTTCTTCCCCAATGCCTAGTAACAAAGGAACCTGGAAAGGTGCTAATTTCCTCCTGCTAGTCTGATCTGCATGAGCAGCAACTGCAGCATAAGAAATGCTTCTGCACAATTTTAACTAAAAAATCCCAAAAAGTTAGCCATTGACATTTTTTAGTGTAAACAGGTTACAACAACAAAGATATCATGTAATCTAACACAACATTGATCTACATGCATTTACACACTAAAACATTATTCTAACCTCTATTGTGGTTTTGTTTTGTATCGTAAGATGGATATGCCACCCCAAGACCTGCAAATTTGAATCATGCGACCTTTAGATTCATATAAACATGATGAGTTAACACTATTACAAAAAATTAGCATTTATTGGTAAGAAAAATTGGACACACCATAAGATAATTTCCATACAAACACTTTAAATGATGAGTTAACACTATTATAAAAAAAATTAGCATTTATTGGGAATATAGAAAAAAAAATTAACATACCGGGGGTATTTTAGTCAATACCTTGGTTTAGCCTTGATGCATAAGATAGAAGGGATGAAATATGCCTAAAGTTAATAGACAAAACCTATACTAATAGAATAATCAGTCCAAAAATATACACAAACACTTGCACACACTTACACATACTCACATATCTTTAAATAGGATCTAATTATGACCTTATATCTCTATTTATTTTTATTTTTCTGGGATAAAATATTAGTTTTCTAATCGTTAGCTAGTTTTCTTTTCGCTAATTACCACAGGTGCTTACTGAAATTCTTCAAATTTATTTTTATTTTTCAGGGTTATAATATTAGTTTTCTTATCACTAGTTTTCTTATATATATATATATATATATATATATATATATATATATATATATATATATATATATATATATATAGGATATAGATCCGGTAAGAAATTTTCTTTGGTAGGAAGGTAAGAAGTTTTTTTTCTACATATTTTTTTGACGAACAAAATAAATGAATCACTAGATGATTCATTTTTAAGATGATTCACAAGAAAAAATTCTCAAAAAAACATCTTTATGATTCATTTTTAAGTAAATTAAGAAAAAATTCATTTTTATGATAATTTTAGTGAATAACAACAAAATCATTGTATAAATGAATCAGAAAGATGTTTTTTTGAGAAGTTTTTTCTTGTGAATCATCTTAGAAATGAATCATCTAGTGATTCATTGATTTTGTTCGTCAAAAAAAATATGTAGAAAAAAAACTTCTTACCTTCCTACCAAAAATTTCCTTCTTATTTGATCTTGACTATATATATATATATATATATATATATATATATATATATATATATATATATATATATATATATATATATATATATTACCTCCAATGGCTTTAGTAGCATCCTTAAGGCACCCAGAAAAGTATTGTTGTAGAACACTTTAACTACAGGGTGATTGACTCGGTTGACTACACGATATATGAAAACTGCTAATGCATCAAGAGAAAATGGATTTGATTCACTTCCTACAAAAAATTTAAATAACAACCAATCAAATTTATATCCATTTATAAAAAAATAATAAACAATAAATAATAAAATAAGAACGTTCGGAATCTGGAACAATTGGTACAGCAGATGAATGCAAGAAGAGAAAAAGTTACCTGGCTCCATCTTCTTCATTAGAGGCATATTGTTCAAGAAAAGGCTCAGCTTCACTCAAGTAGATTGATGATGACAACTGTTTGTTCCCGTATTTCCTTCTTATGTACACTGCCCTAAAAATTTATATAATTTATAAATTCTTTTCTTATTAAAAGAATACTAAATCCTTCTTCCTTCATTACCATTCATCCAACATCTTACTGAGTTGTCTCTGCTTTCCTGGTGATGTATTCCATATCTTCATTTGCCTACATCATGCAATTTGGTCTGATTATGACACAATGATATCAAAATGACATAAATGCCCTTATGTGTGAAGGTTCCCTGAGGTAGTAGGTTTTATAGGCAATTGGACCTTCTTTGAAAAGAATCGACAACCCGTTGCGAATCAAGAAAGTTCGCAGTTGTGTCATAAGTCATAACTGAATTATGTCAGAAGGGTATAAAAGTAATTTCAACCACATAACTAGGGGATAATATATATAATACCTTATATGTAAGAAAATTTCAGCTTGATCATTAGATTTGCATCGTCATCTGCTAAACTGTTTTTTGTAGATGTTTCATTGCCATCTTTGTAATTTTTTCCAATGTCGGGGGTATTTTTGGAAATCTTTACGGATTTCTCTTTACTTGCCTTGAACAGATTAATTTCAACAAAAAAACCCTCGATATAGTGGCCATAAATCTGGCTTGAATCTCATCTCTTTTTGGTATCTCCTGAAGGTTGAATCACTATGCACATGGATCACCATTTTATAATGAAGATTATCACTAGATATCGAATTAATTTTGTGGAAATTATAGTAACACTTGAAAGCAGCATGAAAACGTTTTTCTTTCATCAATCTGACCATTTCCTGAATAAAAAAAATATATCATGCAATTAAAATACTGTTTCTGTGTTATTTGAACTGAAATTTGATAAAAGACTTTGGATTACCTTTAATTTAAAGGTAGTATGATCAGAAGGATTTGTTTGTAGAAATTTGGAAACAACTGATTTATCAGCACTTCTTGGAGGTATATCAGCAGCTTCAAATCTAAACCAATCAACATAATTTGGACAAAAAGATTTCCCAACATTTTGAAGAAGTGCCTTTATTTCCAAACCAATCCACATAATAGGGTCTTCTTCTATGATGGCATTGGGAGTGGCTGGTAACCCAAGGGATCTTCTTGATCTCTTTAGTGGCAACCCAAGGGTTCTGTCCCATATTAGCTGTCAAAGTCAAAAAGAATACCATTAAATATGAACAAACATGAGTTATACCAAATTTACTGATGAAGGGATGAAGTTATACCAAATTTGTTTCTTCAAATGTACAATGTGTGGGTTATAACTGTGCAGGTTCTTCAGGGAAAGTCTCAAGGAAGCTTTCAAGAAGCTCATCAGCATTATCAATTCTTTCATCACCTTCACCAATTATCCAAATCATCAATGCCTATTAAAAAAAACAATTATTAGTAAATTTCTACATAAAGCAAAAGAGAGAGAGAGAGAGAGAGAGAGAGAGAGAGAGAGAGAGATTGTAGAATTTAAAACAATTATTTTACTATAGACACAATAAATGATCTAATTAACTGCTCTTGATTGTGATGCCAAAACCAAATTGAGAAGGCAGAAATACAAAAACTAACTATCAATTAAATCTTACTCCACCCCACATGAATTGATCATCAAAATCTGGAATCTGATATACGAGTTCTTTAAAAGATGTTATTATCGTGTCTTAATTTTCGGCCCCTAAAAACATAGACAGGGCATTATGCCACACCAAGCTATGCAATCAAAACTGTATTGAAGATGCTACCAGAAGAAGAACCTGAAATCGTATGCCAATAATATCTACTGAAAACTTCTCCCTACCTACGGATCAATAACCCTATGGATCTGGCACAGTAGAGCCTTAATTCAGATTCAGATCAAAATCAAATTATCATCCAAGGTAAGAAATTGAACAAGGATAACAGTATTTGTGATAACTTAATCGACCTATCAACCAATAACCTGATGCATCTGCCATAACCATGATCGAAGATAATAACATACAGGGAGAAGCTGGAATTATCGTCATGACCCACTTGGATAATAATATATAATCTTTAATTTCTTCCAGATATAAACTAATAACCCTATCGATCTGCCACAGCAAGTGGATTCGTAGATAAATTCTTAATTATAACCTGCATCTCCTCATAGAAGAGACCATAAAAAGAACCTGATAACGCTTAGAACAACATAAGAGAGGAAGAACCTGGAAACGCCTGATCATAAAGATTCTGATCTTTGAGATTGAAACTATCGACAGATCAAATCTAAATTACAGAGCGTATATGAACCTGCAAACCTTTGTGGATTAAGATTTTCCATGACGACTTTATAATCATTAACCATCGATCAAAAAAACAAATCCTCCAAATCAAAATATCAAAATATAGAATATAACTAAAGATTTGTGAAGGGATTACGACCCGTTTTAGATAAACATCAGCCATAAAATAATCTTCCTGTTGGTCGAGCATTCACAGCAAGGGGACCTCTGCGAGGTGGCCCTGTTGGTCTTCCACCACCAAATGATCTTCCTTGACCTCGACCACCACCACCACCACGAGCCCTACCTCTCCCTCTATCTCTAATCTTCTTCAAACAGATTTTGGTGCGAGACTGGATCAAGCTGCTGATGCAATCGTATACGAATCGACAAAATCAAGCAATTGAAAGAACTGTTATAGGATCGTTGGTGATCTAGGGTTCGAGCATGAGAAAGAAATAGGGTTCGAGCACGAGAAAGAACTTTTATAGAGATGTAGCAAGGTACGAGGTGAGATCTAGGGTTCGAGCATGAGAAAGAACTGTTATATAATCGCTGGTGATTGGATTTCATTGGAGGGTGGAGATGCAGAAGAGAGAACACGCAGTAGAGAAAGGCGGGGCAAGTTCTTCACAAAAAGCCCTAGCTCCGATTGGATTCCGGCATCAACGAGGCCTTTGACGCTGGTTTTTGTTTGGTCGAAATCTTTGAGCTCTGATTGTCGATCGTAGCTTGAGCCCGCTCAAGCAATGGTGGCAGCCATTTTTGTGAAGATGATCGTGTTATATATGCGAAGGTATTCTCTAGAAAGGTGAGTGAGCATCCTTGCAATTGTGGCCCTATGAACGTAAAGTGTTTGATTTCTTGTGAGAAATGAAGCGATAGAGATCGATCTATGGAGGATGTGGGTCGTTCTTTGAGGGATGAAAAAACCCTAGTTTCTTAGACTTTTTGAGTACAGGGTTTTCTAAATTTTAGATTCCCGCGAGGTATTAAGGATGGAACACGATGTTTGATGAGATCGATAAGGAGGTCAGGAGTGGCGGGGAAGCGGATCAGAGAGGAGAGAGAAGGAGGGAGCGAGAGGGGAGAAGATGAAAGATAGAAAGAAGGTAGAGACGACTTTTCAAAATTTTGGGGATTTCGTTTCCCACCTCTACTAAACGCGCCTTTTCATTAAAATTATAAAGCGACAAATATAGAGGACGCACCTTTAAAATAAAGCGCCCTCCGTGTTTTTAATTTCTTTTCGTGAGACACTAATTTAAGGGCACTCAGTAATACGCGACCTAAATTCTTAAATTTTTTGAAGAGATGACTCTTTTTTAATGTCGCTCTCTAATGCGTAACATAAATCAAAGAGCGTCGTGTTTTGCGCGTCGTAAAAGGCTGTTTTTCTAGTAGTGTTGGTTGCCACGACATGGCACCCATTGAATCGTTGTAGCTGGTCATTTAAATCCACGGTCAAGAGAAATAACATCGCGTCGTGGTGAAGCCCCACCACGCCTTGGCTGCCCAAGAATAAAATTATGAAAAATAAATGAATAGGCGCATGTCTGAAACGGGTGTTACGTTAGTCAATAGATATTATCATATTCAATTAAAAAAAATACTAAATATTTTTTAATAATCTAAAAAAAACTTTTCGAATTTAATTAGTAGACATCAAATTTGTCTGGTGCCCTTGATGCTTTTTAACTATTACAGTTGAAGATTAGGAAAAAAGTTGGCATATATCATTTCCAGTTAATAATTAACAAAGTTGTTGGTAGCCAAATAATTAGATAGGAAATATACTTTGTACGGTACTTATATCAACTTTTTTTTATACCAACTATAGTTTATAAGGTATACAGATTAAGAAAAATAAATTGATATCTTGTCATCTCTGACAAATAAACATTAGTTATGCTATCAATAACGTGATATATTGGTGTTATAGCGACACTTCAACCGATTTGCACTTTCGTTCACATTTTGGCCATTTGGCTACTCGACAGTATCGGTTATGTGTTTTTCCCTTTATTCATGTCCTTTCTACACACACGGTTGCATATAATATTTCACAGTTCACACTTATAAACTCGTGATGGTCAAATGCTTCAATCATTCATTGTGAATCTATGTTAAATGTTAAATGTGATGTTTTCTTTAATCATTTAATGTTAAATGTTTCTCTTTCAATGTTTTACACTTATGAACTCGTTAATTTGTGAATTTATGAAGTAATCAATACAATTTATGAATTTATGAAACATAGAAGCAATCGATGACTCGCTCACTATCAATATGCGATTTAGTCTTGAGAAACATAAATTAGTGAATTTATGAAGTTATAGTTTTACATTCTTAATTTGTGTCAATATATCATATATGTTTATGTAATATATATATATATATATATATATATATATATATATATATATATATATATATATATATATATAAATTCTATATAAATATATTATATAAAATTATAAATTGTACTTAATATTAAAAAACCGCTATACCACTGAGATAACCTCGATTTTAAATAGAGAAAATTACAAATTTAGCCAAATACATTAATTACTTTGTGGAAAATAGCTAAAAAGACTCAAATTACAAAAATAGCCCTTAAAATCGCAGATGGATTAAACTCATCTGCGATTTTGCCCTTTCATCTACGAACGTATAAGTGCCTAAAGCACATATGTGCTTTAGGCACTTGTACGTTCGCAGATGGAAAAGTCCATCTGTGATTTTGTGAAGTCCATCCGCGATTTCTTGGGATCTAGTATAAAAACGTTTCTTTCTTCATTTCTCTCTCTCTCTCTCTCTCTCTCTCTTTAGAGCTATCATGGATGATATCATTGACGATTTCCTTAGAGATGTTTTAAACAAAATTTCCAAAAAATAACAACAAAAATTATAATTTATTGAAAAAATTTATATATAATAAAGTTGTTTTGTAGTCAAACTTATCAATTTCATAGTCAAAATTTATTTAAAAAAAACAAAAAAAAAATTCACAAAATCGCATTTCAAAAGGAGAGGAAATCACAGATGGACATAATCTATCTGCACAGTGAAAAAAAACCAACTGTGAATGTATAAGTGGCTAAAGCACGTCCGTGCTTTAGTCACTTGTACGTTCGCAGATGGCATGAAGAAATCGCAGATGGATTATACCCATCTGCGATTTTAGTGGCTAAAAATGCAATTTTTTTTTACTCTTTTCCACAAAGTAATTAATTAGTATGTATATTTAACTAAATTTACGATTTTCTCTTTTAAATAGCGACATTTGACCGATATTGAAATTTTAATAGCAATAATTATATAAAACATTGATAAGCAAATTTAAAAATCGCGATAGTTGCTTTCCGAATTTGTTTCTAACCACAAATAACTACTTAGAAAAAAAAAATGATTAACAATTGACCTTAGATATTATTACTTTTGATGTATTGTTACAAATCTTCCTTCGAAGATGAAGTACTACATATACTAGCAAATCTTGATACCAACTAACAAATAAACCTCTTTTCTCTTCTTTTTAAATGATTCAAAAACAAGTAACAATCTTATAAACTACCCTAAATATAAACAAAATTTAACATTTTAACAAATTCACACCTCCATTTACTTTGGGTTGGGGCATAGGCAAAAGTGGACTATTCGTACCCTTCTTAAAATTCTTATACAAAGCTGTATCAGAGTACACAGCTCGTGATCTCATTGACCTTATCCTGTGTTTATGCCTGTGACCTTTCTTTTCACCTTCCCGCCGGCGGCCATGTTCTTTCTTCTCAACCACCGCCACCACCTCCGCCTTCTCGCCGGAGCTACTACCTCCACTCCTACTCCCACTAACATCCGTATCTCCCTCTTTCTCTTTTTCTACACCTTTTTCTCCTTCTTTAGGAGCAATATACACAAACGAACCAACTTCCAAATCGTCCAACTCCAGTATATGTTCCAACGTCTTCACCACTTCCGTCATAGCAGGTCGGCATTTCGGGTGGTGGCTTAGACACCGGCTAGCCAACGCCGCCGCCTTCTTTGCCCCTTCCACCGGAAAATGACCATCGAGTTTACAATCCATTATTCTATCAAGATTACTCGGATCTTTCAAAAGCGGTCGTGCCCATTCCACCAAACACTGCTCTCGATTTGGTCGTTTTTTATCCATCGATCTTTTCCCCGTTAATAGCTCTAACAAAACCACCCCGAAGCTGTAAACGTCGCTCATGGTGGTCAAATGACCGGTCATGATATACTCCGGCGCCGCATATCCATGTGTTCCCATGACACGTGTACTCACGTGCGTCTCATCTCCTTCGGGTCCATCTTTCGCTAGCCCAAAATCCGATAGTTTAGCAGTATAATCCTGTTAACATATTAGAATCAGAAAAAAGAAAAAGATGATATAAAGTTATTATAAAGATCGATGAACAAAAGAATATAAGAAATTACCGATGCTAATAATATATTCGAAGTTTTGAAGTCGCGGTAAATGACGGGTTTGTCCTGGCAATGAAGAAAGGCGAGACCTTTTGCAGCACCAAGTGCTATTTGAATCCGGGTCAACCATGGCAATGAGATTGAATACCCTGAATTTATATATATAAATAACAAGATCTTGATTAATATTGTGCATAATTATATAAAAAAGATTGAAACTTTATAAAGAGATTAAGAAAATTACTTCTGAATAATTGACTTTCCAAATTGCCCCTTGTCATGTATTCATAAACGAGAAGCCTGTTCTTCTCCTCACAACAATAACCAATCAACTTCACAAGATGAGGATGCCTCAATTGCCCTAAAAACGTCACTTCGGTCTATAAATTTATAAAAGAAATCCAAAATGAGTAAAGATTTGATATAAAAGAAGAAAAAAAAAGGTTATTTATTTATATGCTTACAAGCCATTCATTGTGGCCTTGACCACCATCTAAATCCAAGAGCTTGACGGCAACCGGTTGAGCCTCTAAACCCGGTCTAAGTTTATCATCTATAAAACCCTTGTGAACCGTTCCGAACCCACCTTCACCGAGATAATTACTAGATGCGAAATCATGTGTAATCATCGTAAGTT